CTCCGCCCTGTTGATTCCCTGAGACCCCGCCCCATCCAGGCTGCTGCAAAGCCTTTTGCATATGAATGCCCGGGTCCTTTACAACCTGACAACTACCTAACAAATTGCAGCTGGACCAGACAGACCCAGAACTTCAAGAGAAGGCCCAAGGCCCCACAGCAGCTTGCATTGCTTCTCAGCTGGGCCTCATCTGGGCACCCCCAAACCCCCAAAAAAGGAAGGGGAATCTGCATATCTCTTCATAGCTCCTGCTGGGTAACCTCAGGAAGAGGCTTAATTAGCACCTCCTTAGATCCAAGAGCCAGTGTACCCAGTGGTCAGAGTGGGACCACCCAGATTACAACTCCTCAGATTCATAAGGAACACACTCAGGGGGCAGACTCAGTGAGCACCAAAGCCCCACTGAAGCAAGTCTTGCCCCAGAAGGGTGTCTTCAGCACAGAAGTTCTCCCACTGCAGACACAGCTGATTCTCACTGCCAATTGGCCTGGAGGTCAATTCCTCCCAGTGACACCTAAAACAATCAAGGCATAACTACAACAAGACTGTGCACAAAGCCCACAAGGGGGTGCACCAAGAGTGTCCACCTCAGGTAACTGGGGAGGCTGAGCCACTGGGCCCTGTAGGACACCTAGCACACAAAACCACTCTACCAACATAGGGAAGCAGACAAAATGCGAAGACAAAGAAACAGGTCACAAATGACAGAAATGGAGGACAGCAAACGACTGGATATAGAGTTCAAAACCACGGTTCTAAGATTTTTCAAGAATTTTATGGAAACCGCCGATAAATGTATTGAGATCCTTAAGAAATCTAGTGAGACCCTCGCTGTTGTGATAAAGGACCAACTAGAAATTAATCATACACTGACTGAAATAAAGAATAATATACAGAGATCCAACACTAGACCAGAGGATTGCAAGAATCAAGTCAAAGATCTGAAATACGAAGAAGCAAAAAACACCCAACCGGAAAAGCAAAATGAAAAAAGAATCCAAAAATATGAAGGTAGTGTAAGGAGCCTCTGGGACAGCTTCAAGCATACCAACATCCGAATTATAGGGGTGCCAGAAGAAGAGAGAGAGCAAGATATTGAAAACCTATTTGAAGAAATAATGACAGAAAACTTCCCCTACCTGGTGAAAGAAATAGACTTACAAGTCCAGGAAGCGCAGAGAACCCCAAACAAAAGGAATCCAAAGAGGACCACACCAAGACACATCATCATTTAAATGCCAAGAGCAAAAGACAAAGAGAGAATCTTAAAAGCAGCAAGAGAAAGACAGTCAGTTACCTACAAGGGAGCACCCATACGACTGTCAGCTGATTTCTCAACAGAAACTTTGCAGGCCAGAAGGGAGTGGCAAGAAATATTCAAAGTGATGAATACCAAGAACCTACAACCACGATTACTTTATCCAGCAAAGCTATCATTCAGAATTGAAGGTCAGATAAAGAGCTTCACAGATAAGGAAAAGCTAAAGGAGTTCATCACCACCAAACCAGTATTAAATGAAATGCTGAAAGGTATCCTTTAAGAAGATGAAGAAGAAGGAAAAGGTACAGATACATATTATGAACAACAAATACACATCTATCAACAAGTGAATCTAAAAATCAAGTGAATAAATAATCTGATGAACAGAATAAACTGGTGATTATAATAGAATCAGGGGCATACAAAGGGAGTGGACTGACTATTCTTGGGGGGGAAAGGGGAATGGGAGAAGCGGGAAGAGACTGGACAAAAAGGGAAAAAAGAGGAACAAATGTAATAATCTGAACAATAAAGATTTAATTTAAAAAAAAAGAAAGAAAATTGGAAACAGCCTATAGGAGCTGACCCTCTGATAAGTTTCCAGGCAGGAACAGCTGACCTGTGGGGTAGCTTCTCCCCTAATTGCCTTCTTTTCATTTTATCTGACTTTTCCCTTCTGCCTTTGTCACATTCAGAGGTAACAGAGTAGATATGAGAATAAGAGAAAAATAACATGCCTTAAGGACTCTTTATGGTTAACATAAAGCATCTTCATTTTAAAACAGTGAAAACTATCAAATGTTGAAAATAGAAAAATGGAAATCAGAGTAAATACTTATTTTAACTATTTCAATTTTTGTCCACGGTGCTAATGAAAAGGGCAGAGGAGACATCCTCCTTCTTCCCATGATCATTCATACTTAATATGGGTTAGATTGCTTCAGTAGTAGCCCTGTCTGAGGTGCATTGAACAACATGGATTTTGTTTGTTTGTTTGAGGGAGGAGGTGCTCAGACCCACATTTTTTACTCTCTTCATTTGTTGTGACCCAACCCCCCCTTCCTTCACCATACCAGCCACAATAGCAGCCACAGTCTCTCTAAACAAAAACATTTAATCTCATTATTTCTTTCCTTAGAAAGATCTTTGCTGCTTTTAGGATGAAATCTAAACTCCTTGGCTTGACAATTAAGTCTTCCCTGGATCTGATCCTAAACTACCATCTAACATCTTAGTTTAGATTGTTCATTGTTCTACGACCAGATCAAGCTTTAAAAAAGATCTCCAAAACTTTTTACATGCTGATATTTCTGCTTGCAATACTCTTTTCCTATTTTCTGCTTGGTGAATTTTATTCTTTTCTCAATTATGAATTTATTATCTTTTTCTGTAAACACCTAAGTCTTTCTAGGCAGAACTAATCCATTCCTTTCCAAGGCTCCCATAGCATTCACATATGTATTTCTATTACATAATTTTTTATATTGTACCATAATTATTTATTTAAGTATCTGTTTCCATGGCTATGCTGTAAGTTTATTTAAAGGGCTGTCTTGTTGTTAATGTTTGTTTCTCTAGCATCTAATACAGTATGTGGCTCATAAAGTGCTCAACAAATATTTGTAATTTAATAAGATAATTTAATTATGAAGGGTGCTTTTCAGGTTGGAATGCCACAGTGCAGGTTTTAGGAAATCTGGAAAGAAGGATGAGAAAATGTGTGTGAGATGTGTGATTGTGAGAGGAAATGTTGAAAACAGAAAAATGGAAATCAGAGTAAATACTTATTTTAACTATTTCAATTTTTGTCCACGGTGCTAATGAAAAGGGGAGAGGAGACATCCTCCTTCTTCTCTTCTCCAACTTTAAGGAAGCAGAACTTAGGTCACAATTACACTTGTTTACCATTTCCCACATTGTTTCTGTGGGAAAACGGATTCTGAGTTTTGAATAACTGATTTACAAATGAATGTTTGGACTCTATCTCACTGATAAACTAGGGGCAGCCTGGTTTACGTTTTAGCATCACACAATTTGTGTGTATTTTTTTTCTAGTTATTTCATGTGCTTGTATGTCTAATTCAGTCACTTACATTGTAAGTTATTTGAGGGCAGGACAAATTTCTTTTTGTATAACCCACACAGTATTCTGGATATAGAAAACACTTATGCAATCTCTAGATATTTCTCAGAGTGTTTTGTACACCAGGCACTGTGGAAAGTCGTGGGTTAAAGAGCACAGTCTATGCTTTCTAGAAGTTCACACTGTAGTTAGGGAATTCATCAGGATTATGAGTCAGTTCCTCCACCTAAAACCCAAAGTGATCAAAGAAGCCTACCTGACATAGAGTGAAATAGGCACCATGGTGTTGAGAATAATGAAGTAGGACCAGAATATGAGGATGGCAGAGACAAATGATGAAGAGACATAGTCTTTCCATGGCAGAACATCCTGGAAGTAGTAGCCTCTCTTGCTCTCCCAAATGCTATGCCCAATTGCTAGGATAAAACACATGCAGCCTAAAAACAGGAAAATCTAGAAAAAACAAACAAACAAAAAGAATTAACATTTCATCCAAGGCATATGCTACTTCAGTTCTGCCCTTTGAAGCCTTATATCTCAACAAAGCCCTCTTCTTGAAGGGTGGGGGAACATACGGGGGGGGGGGGGGGCTGTAGGCAGTTGTACACAGGACAGAAAAGAAAGCCCAGCAGGAGCTATCCTTGGGGTTTTGAAGGGATATGATAACTAAAATATATTAAATAATTTTTAAGTGCCAGGAACTGTGCTAAGCACTTTACATATATTATTTTATGTAATATTTATAATACCCCTCTTTTAATAATAGATGAGGAACTTGATATTAAGAGTGGGAAACTATTTTGCCTAAAGTCATTCAGCAAACCTATCTAAGAGACATAGGTTTGAATCAGTCCCAGAACCCAACCTCCTATCACTCCATTACTGAAGTGAGATGCTGCTTTAACAAAAGTCTAGAATGCGTGGCACTGGCTTAGCAGTTGTGGGTAGGTGGGTGGTAAGAAACTGTTATAAAAGGCTTAAATATGGCACTCACATTAATAAAGAATTTGGTAAAACTTGAAGACAGACCTGCTGAGCCTATATTAGTGTGTGTTCACTGCCTTTGACAAGGTATCAAAGAAAGAGCTGAACTAGGGAAATAACTGCCAATTTATAAGCAGAAATGAAAAAAAGAGGGAGAAATTTGGGTTATCGAAGGATTGAAAAAGCCTATTACTTTTAGAAAGTAAAGAGGAAGAGGTAAGATTATGATCTTAAACACACAAGTCCCAATAATTCTTTCCAAATGAATTTTGCCTGGAGGCAAAATTGAGATTAAAGATGACACCTTCTTACCCAAGAGTATAGTTCTAGAAAACAGCAATTTTCTTGCCATTAAGTTGAGAGAGAAAGGCATGGAGGAGCATGGAAGCAAAGAAATAAGATAAATTTGAGAACTATGTTTAGAAAAGAACTTTGGGGGAGAGGAGATAACCCCGGACTCCGTTACAAGGCCAGCATTACCCTGACACCAAATCCAGACAAGGACACTACAAGAAAAGAAAGCTACAGGCCACTATTCCTGATGAACAGAGATGCAAAACTTCTCAACAAAATAGTAGCAAATCAAATTCAACAGCACATTAAAGAATCATATACCATGACCAAGTGGGATTTAGACATTACTGAAAAAATGGAAGAAAACGCAAATAAATGGAAAGATATGCCATGTTCATAGATTGGAAGCACTAACATTGTTAAAATGTCCATACTACTCAAAGCTATCTATAATTCGATGAAATCCCCATCACGATTATAATTTTTATGGAAATAGAAAACCAATCCTAAAATTTGTATGGAACCACGAAAGACTCAAAATAGCCAAGGCAATCTTGACAAAGAAAAACAGAGCATTACAACTTCCCGAGTTCAAACTGTATTACAAAGCTATAGTAATCAAAACAGTATGGCACTGGCACAAAAGCAGCACTTCCACCCCCTACCCTGGCCCACCTGGCTCAGTGTTTAGAGCAGGGGTCCTCAAACTTTTTAAACAGGGGGCCAGTTCACTGTCCCTCAGACCGTTGGAGGGCCGGACTATAGTTTAAAAAAAAAACCTATGAACAAATTCCTATGCACACTGCACATATCTTATTTTGAAGTAAAAAAACAAAACGGGAACAAATACAATATTTATATTTGCATGTGGCCCGCGGGCCATAGTTTGAGGACCCCTGGTTTAGAGTGTCAGCTCACATACAGAAGGGTCGAAGTTTTAATTCCCGGTCTAGGGCATACACCTGGGTTGCAGGTTTGATCCCTAGCCTCGTTTGTGGGGAGGCAACCAATCAATCTGTCTCTCATATTTCTCTCTCTCTCTCCTCCCTCCTATCCCTTCCTTCTACTCCTCTAAAAAGCAATGGAAAAAATATCCTCAGGTGAGGATTAGCAACAATAAAAGGAGATATTTATACCCCCATGTTCATTGCAGCATTATTTACAATAGCCAACACATGCAAACAGCCGTGGTGGGTTTGGCTCAGTGGATAGAGTGTCAGCCTGTGGGCTAAAAAAAGACATGCAGCCCTAACCGGTTTGGTTCAGTGGATAGAGCGTCGGCCTGTGGACTGAAAGGTCCAAGGTTCGATTCCGGTCAAGGGCATGTACCTTGGTTGTGGGCACATCCTCAGTAGGGAGTGTTCAAGAGGCAGCTGGTCGACCTTTCTCTCTCATCGATGTTTCTAACTCTCTATCCCTCTCCCTTCCTCTCTGTAAAAAATCAATAAAATGTATTTTAAAAAAAAAATAAAAAAAATAAAAAATAAAAAAAGACATGCAAACAACCTAAGTGTCTATCAATAGATGAATGGATAAAGAAAATGTGGTGTTATATATACACATACAATGGAATATTATTCAGCTATAAAAGAAGTACATTCTGCCATTTGTGACAACATGGATAAACCTTGAGGGCATTATGCTAAGTAAAATAAATCAGACAAAGACAAATACTGTATAATTTCACTTATCTATGAAATCTAAAAAATATAAACTCATAAAAACAGAGAGCAGATTGGTAGATGCCAGAGGCCAGGGCTAGTTGAGGGGGAATGGAGAGGGTAGTCAAAGGGTACAAACCTCTATTTATAAGTTTAGGAATGTAATGTACATTATGGTGACTATAATTAACAATCATTGTATATTTAAAAGTTGCTAAGAGAGTAGATCTTAAAAGTTCTTACCACAAAAAAAAAATCATAACTTTGATGTGTTAACTGACCTTACTATGATAATCATTTCACAATAAATACATATATAAAATCATTATGTGGTATACCTTAAACTTACACAATGTTATATGTCAATTGTCATAATAATAAAAGGCCAAGAAGTGTTACAACCAAAACGACCAAATGACCGGTCACCATGAGGTGCATGGAGCACCTCTCAGGCCCTCCCCGGCAGCCCACAGGCTCCGATCACAGCAAGGCTGGTGGCTGATGGGCGGGTGGGGTGGCCAGCAGGAGGGCGTGGTGAGGCAGGCCCGGCTGCGAGCGCAGCGGGTGTGTGTGGGGCCACGGGATTGTGCGCGCTAGGCCTCTAGTATCTTAATAAAGCTGAAAAAGTTAAAATTATATAAATGGAATAATACAGTATACTAGTGGCCTGGTACACGGATTCATGCACATTGAAAGGAAATTAATTACAAGAAATATTTTAATATCGCTACTTGCCCTTTCTCTATAATAGAAGTGTCAACCAAATTCACGATGAACAATGATAGATCGAAATACATGCGTGCGATTGGCGCCAGCGAGAGCTTTATATGTATTGCACATGCATGAGTCAACATTTATTTTTAAATTGCCAGGGTGCACCATATGTACCAGCCAGTTGGTCGGACGGTCGGACAGACATATGGTTGGTCACTTAGTCTTTTATATATAAGTACTCTTTTCTTGTCTGGCTTCTTTCATTCAGCAATTGTTTATTTCTTTTTATTGCTGAGTAGTATTCTATTGTATGGATATCACATAATTTGTTCACTAATTTATTTTTTATTGGACATTTGGGTGTTTCCAGCTTTTGACTATTACAAACAAAACTGCATTGAACATTTGTGTACCAGATTTTGCATGGACATTTGTTTTTATTTCCTTTGTAAATATCTAGGAGTGAAATTGCTGAGTCCTATAATATATTTATATTTAACTTTTTAAGAAACTACCAAGCAGGTCCTGGCCGATTGGCTCAGTTGATTGGAGTGTTATGGGTTCAATCTCTGTCAGGGCACATAAAAGAAGCAACCAATGAATACATAAATAAGTGGATCAACAAATCGATGTTTCTCTCTCCCCCTTCCTCTCTCTCTCAAATCAATTAAAAAAAAGAAACTATCAAACATTTCCAAATTGGTTATACAATTTTATATTCTACCAGCATTGCATGCTCTCATGCCTCTAGAGAATATATGAATGACATTGTGAACATGTCTAAGTCTACTGAATGATCTTCAAACCTGTGCCCTTTGGCACAAAGTGTGACGACCTGAAAATAACCCATGCCCACTGCCAGATGATCAGAGGTCTCATCTTTTAATCACTGATGGGAAAGTATTTGAAGACAAGAGGAGAAAGGCAGGAGGAGCAGGTCTAACTGGGACCATTCTCAGAAAAAGAAATTTTAAAAAACTTTTTATTATAAAAAATTTCAAATACATATTAAGGTATATAAATAATACAATAAGCCCTGGTCAGGTAGCTCAGCTGGTTAGAGCATGGTCCTGATGCAACAAGGTTGTGGGTTGGATTCCCAGTCATGTCATATACAAGAAGCAACAATTCATACAATGAATGAATAAATAAGTGGAACAACAAATTGATGTGTCTCTCTCTCCCTTTCTCTGTCTCAAATCTAATAAGTAAGATTGAAAATGTAATAAATAGTACAATGAACCCCTATGTACCCATTACCCAGTTTCAATAATTATTACCTCATGGACAGTCTTATTTTAGCCAAACCTCTTTTTCTCCTGCCCTCCTTTTTGTTTTAAGCAAATTTCTTACATTATATAACTTTATCTGTAAACAGTTTAATATATATCTTTAAAGGATATTATTTAAAGACATAACCACATAAAATTAGCAATAAATCCTTGAAATCATTTAATATATGAGATATGAGAGATGAGTAATGGATGGAGAGAACAAAGCAGAGGAGGATTGAGATAAAACAGAAGAAAAACTGCCTTTATTCCAAGGCTAATGCAGAGTCATACTGAGTAGTTCAGCTCTGAGATAAAGGTGAAGACCATACAGCCCTTCCTTCTCAATCTTACTCCCACTTCCTCATCCTTCTCTCTCTTAAAAAAAAAAAAAAAATTTTTTTTTTTTTATTGATTTCAGGGAGGAAGGGAGAGAGAGATAGAAACATCAATGATGAGAGAGAATCACTGATCAGCTGCTTCTTGTATGCCCCCTACTGGGAAGAGAGCTTGAAACCCAGGTATGTGC